CCCATCAACATAAATATTTAAGGACACATAGACATACACTAGATTTGAGCCGGGCTTTCGAGTGTTATTAGCGTAATTGAGTTTGCTAGCCAATTATGCATGCAATGAGCCAGAAACGGCAATATTCTCAAACTGAAATTTAAAGACTGTCCTTGAATTTGGAATTTGAATGGAAATTTTTGGTGAAGGGTTGCTGCAGGATAGCCCAATGCCGTTGTCTGTGCAACAGTTCTTGAAAATTGCATTTTCTTAATTTATTTGCTATGCTAATTTATTTATTGACTGGCCACGAATGTGCCACAGCCCAATGTCATTTGGCACAGACGTGGACATGGTGGGCCTTGGCAGCCTGGAAAAGCACACACACAGACAAAGGCATATAAAACAGGAGGGGTTGAGATTTTAGTACATGAAATGGAAGGTCTAACTATAATTATAAGATTTTTTTATTATAAATATACTTATGAAAACTTTAAAAATATAAGAATTTTTGTATATTACTGAATTTTTTAAGAAAATAAACCACTTTTTCAGTTAGAAGTTATTTATATCAAAATGCCACAAAATCCACAAAAACTTCTAAATTTCGTTTAAAAGACTGAAGTCAGTTTGTTAATATTCAATCCTATTAAGTTGACCCCTGCTGTTTGTGCAGTCAATTGCATTGGTCATTCAGTTCATGAAGGGAATACCCCAAAATAGAGCAGGAAGCGCATGGGGTTTCATTGAGCCAACAGGAATGTTGATTTTCGGGGGAGGTAAACCAAATTGAACATACATTCATTGTCAAATCCTTGAATTAATTTGGTTACCGGACACAGAAATATCATTCAGGGCTCAAAATGACTAATAATAAAGATTCAAATTTGTGTTTTAATAAGTTTTGCTAAGAAAACAAAACAATGAAACAATTTTAAAGTCACTGAAAAATGCTTTAAATGTTCAAAACCATAAAAAAGCCACACATTTTTCAACATTTCTTGAGCCTTAAATTATTACACAATCCCGATAACACATTTATGGCGTGTTGCCTTTACTATCTTCACATCTATGTATATAGCACACTCAAAACAATAACCACAAGCCAAACCAACAAAAAAGAAACAATAAAAACGAATGTAAAAAGCAAAAAGTAACCACCAAAAGAAGAGAAACAACAAAGTTGGCGAAAAATGTTTGCCCTTCGCGGAGACAATGCAACTTAAATTACGTCACGCAAGCAAGAGAATTTACCCCCAAAAAATGGCAAACAAAAAAGAAGAAATTACTGTGTGAATTTTCGGGTGCCAACAGTCACACCAATACAACACACACACCCCCACACACACACATAGAGACGGAGGATGCCCCTGTAGATATGCAACGCTCAATTTGCCATTGCCAACCACAATGCCAACCGAAATTGCCAACTTAATTTATGTGCTGCGCTAATTAGCACCATAATTTAATTTCCAATTGGCAAACGCAAGACCAACGAAAAAAGTGAGTGGGGAAAAAAGTTGGGTTGAAATTGGGTGGTAAAATCGAGAACTGGGCTAACAATGCATTGCCTGTTGCTGCCAATCACATATGCTGCGTTTAAGCTGAGATTCTTTGGGTAAACAAAATTCACGTGCCCCTTTTTGTACACTCTTTAAAAGGGTAAATTAGTTATTCTTAGTAACTAACTAATTGATATTACGATTTCGTTTAATAATTCAGTTCAAAATTTCACAAAATTATATAAATTATCAATAAAAATTACTAAAGAAGTCCTTGTATAACTTTTTATAAATTTTTAAAAATATACGTTTTTTTAAAACTAACTAAATTTAAAATCTAGTTAGCGTTTTGGAATTCATTTATAAAATATTTACTTAGATTTTCCAAAGAGCATTGGTAAAGGATCTCTGAAAAAACTGGAGTTGCCATGTTCCACTTTTCATTTTATTTTCCTATCACCCGCTCTGCTCTACATGTGAAATTCTGGCGAAAACCCCGCTGGTGCCGAAATAAAATCGAATTAAATGCAGTGCCCATATGTTGCCACCCCGCGTGGCTCCCCCTTTTTTTCTGCACCCCCAATTTGCAAACACACACACACACACACAGAGACACCGACACACCCCCTAACAAATGATGTTGACCGCCCATGGTCATGGATGCTAATTAATCTTGATTTTCAAGCCAAGCAATGTTGGAAAGAAGGAGGAACTGTGAGTGTCCTTACGTCAAAGTGACAATTAAATTAATCATGATGGCAAACGATTATGTCAACAGGACACACTGATACACACACGCACACACATTGTTGAGCGTAGAAGACCCCCGCTAGGAGAGCAGCAAAAAAAAGGATAACACACATGGGTGTAGAAAAGTATTCATGCCTCTGTTGCTATTGCAAAATCTAATTATAGCCGGGCATCAAACTTATAATTAACATTTTGACCGCAAACGCAAAAATTTCGAATGGGCAAAAGAAACGAGAAAAACGCCAAAGGCAGTTACTTACGTTCCATGTGCGAGACAATTTTAATTAGTTTTGCGGTTGACACATAAAGTGCGACTTTAAGTTTAAATTGAATTGAAAAAAAAGGCTAAGAAGTTCCTGCAATTTTTTTAACATTTTGAATAACTTAGAAAATTAAATATCAAGCTAAAATAGAAAACTTGGACTTAAAAACCATCCAAAAAAGGTCGTGATTCTTAAATAAATATTATTATTATTATTATCATTTTAAACTACTTTAAATAATATATATAGTGAAAAGAAACGCTAATAAGTCGTAACACTTCCACTTTTTTATTTTATTTTTTAATTAAAATTAATTCGAACATGAATTAAATTTAACCATAGAAAACCTTAAAGGTTATTGATTGCTTATCAAAATTAAATTGTTTCACATTGCTAAACAAAATGTTAATATTTCTTGTCTCTTAATGATTTTACTATTTCTCCGTTTCAAAAATACAAATATAAAAATCTTTTTCAAACTTTGCGCCCATTCAAGCAGGGCTACCGCACATTCTTTAAAACATGACAAGATGGCAACTCCACATATTAATTTCTCTTCCGATAGTTAGCCATATCGATACTGTCATCGCTGGTTGTCCATCTCTAATCGCACGAGGTGCCGAACTAAACGTAAAAATTGCAAATAATTTATTAAATACAACAGACGAAAAATTTTGAGAATGACGGAAGCTGAGGAAATTAACGGTCGGGAAGAGGTGGAGGATGATGAGCAGGATCAAAAACAAAAGAAATCCGATGTGAAACGGCATGACGACGGCGCCGCAGGTAAATATTTGACACCCCCCTCCTGCAACCAACCAACCTACCCATAAGAAATTTAAAAAAAATCATTTATGGAATATCATGAATTAAGGTGCCCATACACTATTTGGCGCTCAAAACTGGATATCACTGTCTTTTATGAGTTGTATTTTGCATTCGTTGAAAAGTTGGAAATAGATCCTACAATCTCAATTCTGTTATTATCATAGTCTAAAAGAAATGAATATTTCGTAAAGTGGTTTCTAAAAATGAATATAGTTCTAAGTCTCCATCATAATAAACTGATTGTAGTTATATTATAAAAGGAACACCATAATTAAAATCCATCTAACTTTCAGATTTGGAACGCGTTACTGATTATGCCGAGGAAAAAGAGATCTCCGCGGCCAACATATCCAGTGTATGTATATTATATTCTTATAAAAAAATAATTTAAGTAATAATGATGGTATATTTTCATTTACAGGCCGTGGAACAGTTTGGCAACCAGCGTAACAAAGAAAACGAGCTTCGAGTAGCCAAGGAAAAAGAACTCCAAAAAGTCCAAGTCAAGAAGGAGGATATTGAACTGATTGTACGTAACCAAATCTTTAATGGGGTTTTTTGTAAAATAGGATACAAGATATGATATGTTCTTTATCTTTCTTTTTCTTTAAATTATTCTCTATTTTCCATCGGTAAAGTTTGTGGATCCCCAGACTATCGTTATTGGTAGTTTGTTCCCAGATGTGATTGTTAATCTTAACTCTTGTCCTACGAACTCATGGTCGTATAATATATTAGTTAAATATTACATTCTGCTCTTTATTACCTGCTCCGCTTTATAGTCTAATTATTGCTCTACGATCCATTAAGAATTAAGATCCATAATAAGTATTTTAACTTAAAAATATATCTCAAATAGGTTGATTAGTCCAAATAAAGTCTATTAAAAACGAATTTTAGTTCCCAAGCAGGGCAGACCGCCTTCTTCCTCCTGAACACCCAAAGTAATTTCCATATTCTTTCTCTGTTTCAGATGAATGAGCTGCTGGTTAGCAAGGCGCAGGCCGAGAAAGTGCTCCGCGAGCAGAGCGGCGACGTAGTGGCAGCTTTGGAGGCCATCATCAGCAACTAAGGTGCTTGAGGGAACCTGGACTAACCGCCGCCTGTTTCTTTTATGTAGCGTAACACTGCTTTATTTGTACATTTATAAACTCTAGCGAAGAATAACAAAACAAACTTTTAAGCCCACAACAGAACAAACCCCGATTTTCTCGTCGGCAAAATGATATTTATTTTTTGGTGTAATAATAACTTGTAATTTTATTCAGAGTATCGCCACTGCCGCCCATGCACTCTTGGGTGTCCTTAAGAAAAACCATTTTGACAATTTGACTATCAATATATGTGATCATGCGTATCCTTGTATAATTTATATTTATAGATATCCGATTTTCTAAATGAAAAAACAATAGTCCTTCGTCTCAGCCTCCCACTTATACTCGTATTATATATGACTTTTTGGCAGTTGCGTTTGCTTCGCTCTCACATATTGCCGATTGCTCTATAGAAATAATAATTGTCGATCAACCGATCGAGCGCGCTACCAAACATTTCTAGGGAAAACCTGATATCTCATAGCAGCTCTATGCATTTCATTCCAATTCGTTTTTTGGTTTGGTTTTTTGAGGAGGGAGAGATGAAAGGTATTTGAATAGAAATATAAATTATGAAACAAACAGACAATGAAATTCTTTTATAACAAATAAAGCAATAGACTACAAGACTACAACCCAGTTAAGGTTTAAAATTGGGGATATGGGAGAAAAGTAGGATTTCGTGTAGTAGCATTAACTAAATTATGTGCTTAAATACTTTTGTAGATTCTCGCACGATGGCGTATTGATATTCTGCGCCTTTCTGTACAGGTCCCGATCGCCAAAGGTACGCGCCTTGGCCAACATTGCGTCGCCTGAAAATATTTTTTTTTATTTTCAGTTTTATAGGATTTACTGCGATTAACTTACGATAATTCCGTTCTCGACTGCACGAGTGCTTAAGACTATTGACAAAGTCTTCTTCAACGGATTCCTCTAATCGGGCCACTGATCCTTGATACTCTGAATAGAAGTTGTCCTTTACATAGTATGGTACCTTTAGGCCATTCGTCTCACGCTTTACAGAATATTTACTGGAGATTAAAGAGAAAACTTAATTAGTACTGCATTTCGTGAGGCCTTAAGGGTGTATTTACTGAGAGGGCGTCAGGCTGTACATGGGATCCGAGATGAAGAAGGAGGACATCATGGAGAGTCCAATTAGCAGTAAGATAGGTAGCAAATTGATCCAAGCTGATGAATTTTGTCCCTAAATAAAGAAATATAGTTTTAATTTGCAAAATGAATGTAAATTGAAGCCCTTACATCACGATCTTCGCGAGCTTGATGACGACGTCGCTGCTGCCGCATATAGACATTCTGCTTGGGGGAATCCGCCGTTGAAGAACATATTGAACAGCTCCTCGGCACTGATGTCAGCCTGGAAACCACGCGAATATCCATATTCGTTGTTATAGTATTGACCATGTCCATGATGACCTCCATTGTTGCCGTGACCATTATGCGACTCATTGATACCGTACAGGTCGTAGTTCTTGCGCTTTTCGGCATCTGTAAGGACGCCGGCAGCATTACCAAGAGCTTTAAACGCCTCCACCGATCCAGGGGCCTTGTTCTTGTCCGGATGCAATTGCAGGGCTAGCTTCTTGTAGGCCTTTTTGATCTCTGAATCCGTGGCCGTCTTGCTTACGCCCAACACTTCATAGTAGTCCTTACATCTAATTAAAGGTGATTTAAATTTAAAACGTTAAGAGTTTATTTTTTTTTAAATAAGTAATGACACTTACTTTTTGACCTTTCGCACAGCCTCCAACTGATCATTGGTATAATCCGGCGCATTGGAACGAGAATCTGAGTTTACACGTTTCCTAGGACCACTGTCCTTCTCATCACTGGCAGCCGCTGGACGAGATTTGCCATTACTTGCGTTGCCTGGGGTGCTCTTCACCTGGGCCAGTAGCTCTAAAAGTTGCAATAAAACACGTCATTAGATAAAACTTCATATTTTATATATTGTTTGTAATTAGCATGTGGGTATCACAAAATAAAACTATTTACTTAATTATTTAGATGGTGCATAAGTTAAGGTGGATTTGGGATCTTTTATTGACATGTTATGGAGTTATGTTATTTAAATTATGTGATATAAATTCGCTTTGAAGGTTTACTATCCTGAAAAATTAATAAAACTACTATATTTTTTTTATTTATTATTAATCATTAACCTATTATAATCTGCGTCGCAATATTCTATCGTTAACGGATCAATAAAAACAAAGTTTAGAAACTTAATATATGACCCTTAATCACACAATTAAAATTTTAATACCTTGCTTGATTAAAATCATACCACCATTTTTTAGATAACAAAACCACGACGGGTTGGAAAACACAAACATATCATTGATGTTTTTATTGATAAGATACCGTTTTCTAAGGGGTTACCGAAGAAAGGCTTGTCAAAATAAGAAGGTTATGTTAATAGGGGCTTTGTTGATCCCTTTCCCCCATTATCCTTACTCTTTGCATTCTCCGTTGGAAAGAGTTTCTCCGCCTTCAAAAGAAACTTTTCCGCCTTTTCGATTTTGCCCTCGGCGAGCGCCTGAACAGCGAAGTCAATGCACCGCTGTGCCTCGTCCTTGTTGCCGTCCATGTCGCCTTAATCCGTAATCGCTAGTTTTATCTAGTTACTACGTGGTGATCAAAGTAAATAGTCGGGCTCCGCTCTCTTTATCTGTGTGCGTGGGCCTTATATGCGTGTGACGTTTACGGAATACGCACGATTACACATATACGCCTGCTTAGGTTACGCACTTGAAAAACTATGTGTTTTTCTAATATTGTCCGCCCGCACTTTTACTGAAAATTTGCAAACTGCAATATTAATTTAATTGATTTTATTTGGTCAATTTTTTCGTCAGCCGAGAAAAACATAGGAGTTGCCACCTGATGTTGAGAAAAACACGAACAGGGCTGCAGTGAACTGCGGGGTAGTCACAAAAAAAGCTATATAAGTACATAGCAATATTTACATCTATTTACGTTTTTTAATATCTTATTATTTTATTTTACTATATTTAATTATAATTATCAATGAAGCAAAAAAAAATGATAAAAGAAAATATAAATTTAATAAATAAAATGTAAACTAATATACAATTATAAATGAATTAAATAAAGTACACAGCAAGACCTTATTACTTCTTTTTAATAGCAAGTGTTAATTTTTCGAGTAAACAAAATTACTGACCCACTAGCTATAAAATATTTGGCGGTAAACGGCCAAAATCCGCCGAATGGCCATCCAGAGTTGCATTACTGCGGTATTGCCAGATCGTTGACGACAAACATATGTATGCGTCCGTGTGGGTGGTAGCGTGTGAGTGTGTGCCGCAGCATGGGAAGCGAGTGATTCGCTGATTCGCCAAATACGTCGTATTAACTTGGAAATTTGCAAAGTAATAGCCAAGGGTCGCCGCCGAACGAGTGCAATCAAATTAGCCGCGAAAAAACGCGTTAATTGAATGCATTGTGGGCCGAAAACGTCATCGCCGCGTGTGTAAAAGTGTGCGTGCCCCCAGTGCGTACGCGTGTGATTGTGTGTGCGTGTGTGTGGCGCAGTTCACACAACTTGGCCTGGAAAAAGTGAAAGAGTATTTTTTCGGCCATATTGTGTTGTCATAGCTGGAAAAAGTGCATTTCCCGGCCATATGGAGATTCTGGGCATCTGCAAAAGTGCAGTCAATCAGCTAAAGTTTACTCAAAATTCCTTAATTGTCGAGTAAATAGGGTGACTTATGTAAAGCACAGAACAAAAAATTATTTACATTTACAAAGGTGCGTATGCGTGTGCATGTGTGTTTGTTGATGTGTGTGAAAGAGAAGGAGGGGGAGAAATGCATCCAATTGAAATGTTTGTCCATATTTTCTTTATATTTTGAACGTTTATTTACCATTAACAAAGTTTTATTGTGAAATTAGGAGCTACTTCTTGAGGGAAAGACGAACGGGTACACCTGTCTTGGGCATAAGCGGTACTCCATTAATTCCAAACTCAATTTCTTGCTTTTCTTTGGGGATCTCCAAATCGAAGTTCGACAGAATCTTGGCAATCGCTATCTTCACATTCACCTTTCCCATGCGGGCGCCTAAAAAATTGAAAAAAATACTTTAGATTCCATGAAATATCTGAGGGATTCATTGGGGCTAACGGTACAATAGGGGTCCATTTCCCAGTATTTAGGACAGGAAAAATAGTATTTTTATATACATATTAGTATATAATACCACTTTAACCATGTTGATCCCATCATATCTTACCAATACACATCCTAGGACCCTCCCCAAATGGTAAATAAGCCGCTTGGTTGTAGTTTTTGTTATCTTCCAGATAGCGTTCCGGTTGATAGCTAAGCGGATCCGGGGAAGTACTCCGGATCCCGGTGGATTCCAAACAGGGAGATTATAATTGGTGTTCCCTTCTTAATGACTAGCTTACTGTCGGGCACAGGATAATCCTGAGTGCAGATTCTGTTTAGAATTGGAAGAGCGGGATATTTGCGAGAAGTTTCTGTACGAAATTTATAATTATTACATCATTATTGCTGATTATTGGTTTAAAATTTACCGAGAACACAGGCCTCCAGATACTTCATATCCGCGATAGCATCGTAGGACAGTTCTCCATGCTTTTCGATAGCTTTCCGTACATCCTCCTTTGCCTTTTCCAAAATTTCAGGATTTTGGGTAAGCTCATAGAGAGTGAAGGATGCTGTAGAGGCTGTGGTCTCATAGCCAGCTATGTAGAAGAGGAACAGTTGTCCGGCAATCAGGTCTTTGGACATAGATTTCACACCATTTGTAGTACTCTCCGCTGACCAGACATTGTCATCAGTGTTAACCTGTCCCTGATTCCGTAATTGAAGAAGGAGCTGAAGCAAATCTTTTCGGACTATGTTGTTCTTCTCTCTTAGGTCTACGGTTCTGTGAGACAACTCGCGCATCCTTTCGGTGGCCTCCTGTTTCCAGCCAATTCGTACGAAGAATTTTTCCAGGCTAAGAAAATAAAACATTGTTGGTTTTTTTGCTAAGTTTTTTAACCTTTTAAACATACCCGGGAAAGAGGAAACTTGCTGTCCCTCGAACAATGTCTTCAAAGTTTTTCCGATTGACCTTTTTGCTGATTACCTGGAATTCATTGTTAGGATCAGCGAAACTATCAACATCGAGTCCAAAAATAGTTGTGGCAATAATATCGATGGCAAAGCTGTTGGTAGGAAGATAAAGTGCATAGTTAGTTATCTATCAGATAAGTAGATAGCAGTCTACAATTAGTTACGATCATATATTAAAAATTTGTGAGGTTTTATCAGATATATTACATAGATTATTACATTTTTTCAGGCTATATAAAGAATTTAAGTGATAGACTGATAGGCACACTGAAAAGCTTCGACAAATAAACAATGTTTACGAAGTATTTTTGTGGTAGGTAAATATTTGTTATATATGTATACTTACGTTGCCATAAGCCTCTTCATCTCCAGCTCCTTGCTGCCTGATTCAGGTAGTTGTTCCCTTATGCTGGCTACTAACTTGTCACCCACCGAATTAGACGTCTGAAACATGGCCTTGAGTTTTCCAGAGGTGAACGAGGGTGAAAGCTTATTTCGTAAGGCCCTCCAACTGGCACCTTCCAGTTGGAACAAACTCCCCGACATCGGATCATTCTCCTCATCCACATAAACACCGCGATCATGGAAACTAGCAAAGTCCTTGACCAAGACGTCATGTGCAAGTTGAGCATCTCTAACTAGGAGAGCAGGTCTCAAAGTGAGATACAATCCAACAACTGGTTCCTTTGTCGCTTTGTACATATCGTAGATGGCCAGTCCGAAGGATCTTTTCCCCTTTTGTCACAGAGTCTAGGGCACCGAATGGGATGCTCACTCCTGTAGAAGGAAAACCCTTTCGATCCCAGTAGCTAAATGTCCACTTGAGATAGACATATAGCAATGTGACTGCACCGATCAATAGGTATATTCCGATCATATTGATTCTGTTCTTGTTCACTCTATGACCGCACTTTTAGCGCTCGAAAACGCAACTGACTTGTCAGAGCACATTGTCGATTTATAGTCGTTAGAGAGTTAGAGAGCATTTCGCCATATAGCTGTGCTGATTACATTATCATTGGGCTCGGACGTAAGCATTCGGACCGCAGTGATTCCTTTAGAGGTATTCAGGTAGGTATGTCTATTTGTTTGAATAGAAGATCCGTGGGGTTTGTTGCCTCTTCAGGGTGACGAAGCGTTTAGAGAGCTCTCTACAGGTAGCAGATAATGTGTTCTTTCGACTAACTAGGCAACCCTGCTCTGATGATACGACAAAATGCTTCTTGATAATTATACTCTTTGTATAGAAAATTATATATGTAACTATGTATAGTTAGTAGGTTTTTAGCTATGGGTTTTTTAGTCAAAGACTTAAAATTGTAAATAATAAAACCATTAATTATTTAATTATTTCTTTATTGTGAAATTGTGTTTCAAAGGAACTATAAACTTATTAATTTGTCAAATTACAAATAGGATTTTCTTATTGACTGCATTTGTCACACATTTTATTTAACTTGGGCAAGCAAACGACGATGTTTGTTTTACAAACTCATTTTACATGCATAGAGGTATGTGTAATGATTGCATTCTACGAATCTTTATCGCACAACGCAGTTTATAGAAAATTTGTTTGTTATTGCATACAAAAATGTTGATAAATACGCAATAAAGTCTGAACTTATATAAAACCAAGCCTTTTATTAATATAAATGTTTGAGATTAACTACATATTTCGAAAAAAAAAACTTTTAAATATCAAAGGGGGTCTCGTTATATATTAATACTATAACTTGGACACTGATTACTAATAATTGCTGGTCTGAAAAGTGTAGTCTACCCTCAAGCGAATTAGTTTTGAAAAAGAAGCACTATTTTTTATAGATTGCTTTATTTATAGGGTTTACAGAAACGAATAGCAATGATATATACATATATATTAGGATTGCAATCAAATTTTAAGTATACCCAAATTTGCTTCTACAAAATGGGGGTCTATCGGTTTTGATAGGCTACTTCTTGAGCGACTGACGAACACCTGACTTTGGCATCAGCGTTACTCCATTTATCCCGAACTCGATCTCCTGCTTCTCCTTGGGGGCCCTTCAAACGGCACATATGCAGCTTGTGTTATTTTTTTTTTTTCATTTTCTAGGTAGCTTTCTGGCTGATAGCTAAGCCGATCTGGGAAGTACTCAGGATCCCGATGGTTTCCAAACAGGGATTCCCTTCTTGATCACTAGTTTACTGTCGAGAACAGGGCAGACCTGAGTGCAAATTCTTATAGGTAGAGTGTTATATTTGCGAGGAGTTTCTGTAAGGAAATATAACAATATCATTATTTCTGGTTATTGGTTAAAACTTACCGAGAATCCATCCCTTTGCGATGGCCCCGTAGGTCAGCTTTCCTCCATGGTTTTCCCATAGCATTGTGAACATCCTCCTTCGCCTTTTCCATAGCTTCAGGATTTTGGCAGTCGCATGTAAATGACAAATAGCTAGTTGACCGGCAATTAGGTTCTTAGACATGGTTTTTCCACCATTTTTAGAACTTTCCGTTGACAGAGCAGTGTTTAACAATGAGAGCAATGTTTCAGCAATGTGACTGCGCCAATCAATATATATATATTCCGATTATATTGATTATATTTTGTCCGCAAAGACTGCCGAATTCTAGCCGTTAGATAGTTTTTCCGAACGCGTTTTGCCATAGAGAGCTGGGCTGATTATTTTTATAATTTTTGTTGGGCTAGGCACTGGAGGTAAGTGATCAGTTTTCCAGTTTGTTTGAAAGAGCGGTATGGCGGTTTGAGAGCTTGAGAGAGTCTTATTTTATTTGCAGGTAATGATTTCTTTCGAAGCACTAGGCAACCCTGCACCGATGATACGCCCAAAAGCCATTTGATAATTATAAAAAGCACGTGCCGATTCTTATTTAGTATTCTTGAAGCTATGGCGTCTGGCCTTGCTCAATAAATTAGGTGTTAGATCTTCCCTAATCTATTCATATTTATAAGGCTCTGATTGTTACAAATTACTGGTAAATTTCAAAACTGGTTCGATAAGGCACATTCCATATTTTTGATGAATAAAGCTTTATTTGTAGGATTTTATTTAAACTAATTACATTTACATATTTAGTATATATAAATATTTATGGGAGAAGTTACTTCTTCAGGGAAAGTCTAATGGGAACGCCATGCTTGGGCATCAGCGTTACTCCATGGATTCCAAACTCAATCTCCTGTTTTTCCTTGCGGATTTCCAAATCGAAATTAGACAGAACCTTGGCAATCGCTATTTTCACATTCACTTTTCCCATACGGGCACCTGGAAATATAGAAAAAGAAAAGGAAGTTTTTTAGATTCTTGATAAACGTACAGTACTCGGAAGCTTTTTGAGCTCTGGAGAATCTGATTTTATAGAGTAGAAAGGCTTTCTTACCAATGCACATCCTAGGACCCTCTCCAAAAGGCATATAGGCAGCTTTGTTGTAGTTTTTGTTATCTTCCAGATAGCGTTCTGGCTGATAGCTTATCGGATCGGGGAAGTACTCCGAATCGAGGTGCATTCCCAGAAGTGAGATTATAATTTGTGTTCCCTTCTTGATCACTTTGTTGCTATCGGGCACGGAAAAGTCCTGAGTGCAGATTCTATTCAGGAATGGGAGAGCTGGGTACTTGCGAGCGGTTTCTGTAGGATTGATATAGATATGGTTACATAAGTAGAAAATATACTTTATTTTTAAATAGACTTACCCATGATACAGGCCTCCAGATACTTCATATCCGCGATGGCATCGTAGTTCAGCTTTCCCCCATTCTTTTCGATAGCATTGTGGACATCTTCCTTCGCCTTTTCCATCACTTCAGGATTTTGGGTAAGCTCGTAGAGAGTGAATGATGCTGTCGAGGCTGTTGTCTCAAAACCAGCTGCGTAGAATAGGAAAAGCTGACCGGCTATCAGATCCTTGGACATCGATTTTACACCGTTTTTGGTACTTTCAGCTGTCCAAACATTGTCATCTGTGTTGACCTGTCCCTGATTTCGTAATTGAAGAAGGAGTTGAAGCAAATCCTTACGGACTATGTTGTTCTTTTCCCGAAGGTCGACAGTGCGATGGGCTAGTTCGCGCATCATTTCATTGGCCTCCTGTTTCCAGCCAATTCTTACAAAGAACTTTTCCAATCTAAATTAAATTAAGTTAAAATATTTTGGTAACCAAAAGCAGTTTTGATTGTATATTATTTTTACCCAGGATAAAGAAACAGTGCTGCACCACGAACAATATCCTGAAAATTAAGCCGATTGATCTTTTTACTTATAGCCAGAAATTCATTGTTTGGATCTGCGAAGCTATCAACGTCAAGGCCAAAAATGCTTGTGGCAATAATATCGATGGCATATCTACGGGTTGGAATTAGAATATTAGTTATTTTTTAATATAAGTTCAGCAATTATTATAGGAGGTATAAAAACTTTGTTATCCTTTTAATCCTTTGACTTACGTTGACATTAGACTCTTGATATCAATCTCCTTGCTGCCCGTCTCAGGCAAATCAGCCTTAATGGTTGATACCAACTTATCTCCAACGGAATCGGAGGTCTCAAACATTGCCTTCAGTTTTCCAGAAGTAAAAGAGGGCGTAAGTTTGGTACGTAGAGCTCTCCAATTAGCTCCTTCCATTTGAAACAATCCGGCGGACATGGGATCGTTCTCCTCATCCACATAAACACCTCGATCATGGAATTTGGAAAAGTCCTTAACCAGGATATCATGAGCCAGTTGAGCATCTCTAACCAGGAGAGCAGGTCTCAAAGTCAAATACAAGCCAACAACTGGTTCCTTTGTTGCTTTGTACATATCATAGATGGCCAGTCCGAAGGATCTTTTACCCTTTGTCACGGAGTCCAGGGCACCGAAAGGGATGCTCACTCCTGTAGAGGGAAAACCCTTTCGATCCCAGTAGCTAAATGTGTACTTGAGGTAGACATATAGCAAAGTGACTGCACTGATCAATAGATATATTACGATCATTGCGACTCTATATTTTTGGTCTGCACTGGTAGCGTGCCAAATTGAAACTAAGTGTTTCGGAAAATAGTTCTTCCAATCTTGGATCGTATTAAACAATTTCGCCACTGGGCCGTGGTATTACCTTATCTTTGTTTGTGTCCAAGAACAAAAGCACTTGAGACAGACGATTCCTTTAGAGGTAGGTTCTAATAGATTGCCTGAACGGTCCCCCCCGGAATGAGTTCCCAAAAAAAGCAGTCTCATTATGAATCGGTGGTTAGAAAACTCTTCGCATTCGCCGAAAAATTGCCTACGAAGCATTGCTGGGTTCTTTTAAATTAAATGACAACTCTGTCTGATAAGACAAATTGCTACTTAAGAAATATATATATATATGTTATCTAGCCTGTTTTATGTATGTATTCTAGTTGTCGCCCCTTTAAAATTGATTAAATAAATTATATTGTAAGTACTGAGATTAGAATTTTGTTTATAGGTAATAGATTAATCTCAAGAGCTGATTTGATTATGAAATACTAATTTTGTATTTCTATGTTTATTTCTATACTATTTTTATACAATTTGTATAATAATAAGGTGAAGATAATGAGATGTATAATGGGTAAGATGAAATATTTATCTTTTTCTTACAAATAGTTTATTGTTTGAGTAAAATGGGAAACATCCAAACTTCCTATTCAAATGTCATTTATGAAAAGTCATGTTTTGATTAGTATAATCAAAACTTGTTAGTTTGAATGATTTGAAGCGGAAAAACTTGTAGTCTTATCAAAAAAAGAAACCAAGCCAAATTGATAATGTTTTTGTTTTGGTAAAATTGAATTGACCTAGGCCCAGGGGCTATCCCCAGTTTCTCAAGAACCTGTGACTTGCAATATATCCTATATATACTCGTTTGATATATATATATATATATATATAACTCAACTCTCTCTCTCCGCCCCAAAACTTTCCGCTTGCCTGTTTTGACCCGCTTTGTTGACTTTGACGTTTATGGTAGCGCTTCCACGATGTTCAGGTTGTTCACTTGAGAACTTTGTGCTGTCAAAGTAATTGTTGTTGTTACTGCTGCTGTTCTTATTGTTGTTGTTTTTGTGCAGCGAGTGGCAACGACTTTGGTTAAGTATGTAAGCAACTCAACACAATGGAAACAGCAAGTAAAACAACCATAATATTATAAAGACAACAACAGTATAAGGCGGTGTGCAAAGTCAAAGACGTTGAACCGATTTTGTTGTTGTTGTTGATTTTGAAATTCTTGGCGTGTATGCAAATAATATTTTAAAAATACAGATACAGCTGTGTTTAAAATAATAATTACATTTAATTTTATTTTAAAATCATACAAGGATGAGTTTTAAAGAGAAGTAGAACTATAGAAATAAGAATCTTATAATAAAATATTTACAGAAAACAATATTTTTCATGCTCTAATAAAACTTTTTAGAATAATAAGTATTTAAATCACTTAACATTTTTTATTTTTAACCATCTTTGTTTCTATTGTTTTGCTCGCCAATGTTACCACTGACCACTTCAAACCAGATAAAAACAAGTTTTTTTTATTTGAAAAGAATAATATATATTTATTTATTACCATCGCTAAACAAAATTTTATATAATTGTCAACATTAATGTTTTTCTTGTTTTTATTCCAGACACCTCGACTCTCGTTTGGCTTCGGCTTGTAAATTACAGGAAGGAATAGCACAGCAGTAATAACATTATTAAGGTAAGTTTCTTAGCCAGATCTCTGCCATTAAGCTTGGAATATCTGAACGGGCTAAGGTAGTTGGCCATAAGCTATATGTAATTTCAATTGAACAGCGCCAGTGGCAATTATTAAGTCATTAATTCTTGGGGATTAGCTTTCTCGCTCTCGCTCTGTCTCTCTCTATCTGATAAGCTGCTGAGTTGATAGCCACGGAAATAGCCTTGATAAGGGCCTTGAGAGTCAAAAGCCACTGCCATCAAACATCTAGCAGGGAGCTTTTAACTTGATTCTAAAGAGTGATGGTAGTTTGGCTTTTTGTTGGCTGAATCTGGAGAATTGTCAAGTTTTGAAAATATTTTACTCAGAATTACAAAAATTTTTAAATATTATGATTAATTTGATGATAAGAATTTTAATTTAAATTGTCTGATTGGACTCGGGGTTTTCGAATACGTAATATAAACTATTTTTTATGAGTGCCTAAAACTATGCAATCATATATTGTAATGCTTAAAACTGTCTTCAAGTTGATAAGAAATAAATCCAATCGAAATCTGATTGGAAATCTCTCTTCGAGGCGCCTATAAGTATGCTATTAACGATTAAAATCAATTTAATCTGATTTGATATCAGTTTCAAAGATCCTAGAATTATACAATCAATTACAGAAACCAGCCAAGATAGTGAAAAGAAGGGGTAATATAAAAACTTGAGGGTTAGTAATATGATTTACTAAAATGTTTCTAAAATAATGTTTCTCTTTTAAACTAATTATCATATCAAAATGAATCTTAATTGTTTATTTTATTCATACTCAAAGTATTTACTTTTCGAGAACTTGAAATCTATAGATGAAAACTATTCTTCTTCTAAGTTTCTCTCAAAAAATGCTGGTTACCGAAGCTTTCGTTCTTGTTCTCTTTCGCTCTCTTTTCGTTCAGCGACAAAGCTCTCCGGCAAAAGCAAAACAAACACACTTTGCTCAGGCAAAACAAAAAATATATATTAAGAAAAAAGCTCAGTCGTCAGCTGCTGCGCGTAGCGAGTGTGTGTTTTTCACGGAAAAATAATTCCCATCTGTGTTGCTAACCGATTTTCCCATTTTAACACCCAAAATTCGCAACGGTAAATGCCCCAGTCGTTTACAAAAAGTGTTTAGAATTCTTAAGGTTAACGAAAAACAACAGTTTTCTACGAATATCGCGAAGTTTTCGATAAGTGACCTTAATCCAAAAAGTCGTTAACTGAAAAATGTATTAAAATCTTTTTTTGGAGTTCAAAAACACGCGCAATTAAACATAAAAAGTGAATGACAAATGAGCTTTGGGCAACAGCAACAACGACAACAACAGACCTTAACAACTTCCTCAATCTAACGCCCTTCGAAATGTTTTAGGCTATATACACAGCTATATGGAAATAAACCCAACCTTAAGCTCGAAACTCGAGAATAAAGCAAGCAAAGAAGCTGAAAAGCAAGGCAACTTTTTCTATATCTTTGGGTAGAGTCGGCTTTTTAACACCCGGCACAGGCTCTCTCTCGCTCTTTCTCTTTCTATCTAACACACACACTCCCCCTCTTTTTCACACCCCTCTATTGCCTACTCTCTCTTTCTTTCGGTTGTGACGCAAATCACATGTTTATAGAGACGAATACGAATTTGATTAAATTTATATTAATTTGTATTTGTTTAAAAAACAAAGCTTTTCGATTAGCAGCGTTGCCAGACGTGCAAGAAAAGTTGAAACAAAAAAAAAAACGAAATAGCATTGACATTTTGAATAGAGCCAGAAAGAGAGGGATATCTTTGGGGTATTACACATGTTTGGACTTGCAAAAAGCTTTTCTGCGTGTTCGTGCAGTTCAATTAAAAACATGTGCTGCCCTCTGTCCAATATTTTTGTTTATTGTTTATAAATGAGAGAACTTTGTTCGCCACCTCTCTGTCTCTCATCTTACTTGCTCTTATTTGTTATAGCCAACTCGCTTGCACTTGTGGGTAAATAAGCAGCTGAGGTCAGCGAGCAAACGCCGGCGCAGCTTTTTTATTTTGTCTGACTTTGCAAACACAAAATTGTAGCTTTTTCACTTGCGCAGGCTGAGAGCTTTTTGTCGTTGTATTTTTTTTTGTGTTTTCTTTTTCTATATTGTTTTTTGTATGTATAAAAGTGGAATCGAGTGATATAGGAAGAACCTTGTACGCTCATGACTACGGAATGGAATTTAGTGAGTGGTTTTTATTTGATTTTTCTAGTTTCTCCATCCATCATGCTTGGACTTTTGCTATTTAGTTTCACTGTAGCTTGTTTTTTTGTTTGGTAGGTTCTCTTCTTACAGCAGCAGCAGCAGAAGATTCTTGTTCTGCTAAGGGGGTTTCTTCTTCTAGCCGCAGTCGGGGGCGTCAGTGATGACCTCCAAAGTTGATTTCTGCTTTTGCACTGATTTATTTTGCCGGCCAGCTGCGGAAGCGTTGCTCCTCTTCGCGTTTTCTTTCGTATTTTTGTATATGTATATTTCATTTTTGTATTTATTGATTTCATTACTATTTGGCCGAGGCTGAGCGTTTTTTAATGCCGGCAAGCAAAGCCATGTGCAAGAGCATAGAAAGAGATAGAAGCAGCCAGGAGTGAAAGAGACAAGGCTATCTCTTTGTTTAATTTAGCAGCTTATCACATAAAATTCTGCTGATAACTTGAATCATTTTCGTACGTCGATGTTGTTTTCAGTATCTTTATTTGTTGGCTTTATTTTTATTTTGATTTGGCATTGAACATTGTACGCTGGTTTTTTCACCCTTCTCTTTCGTTGTATAGGTGTGTCAGAGTGAGTTTGTGTGCGCGTCGTTGTTTGGCTTTTTTGATAATTTCGCGTGCAAATATCACGTATACGATGGGTTGTACCCAACTTGGTCATTATATGGTCACACACGTTCGTCTCGCAATTGAATGTGATAAAATTGATGTGCTATATCTCAGTATTCTTGTTTTACTTTAACCTATCTGGTTTTTCTTTGTTTGCAAAGGTGTTGAGTGTAAGAAAGGTTGCATATTTCAAGGCGTTTGGTCGTTGTTATTGACTGTGAAACTGTGAAACCAAAATATTAATTTATCTCTTTAAATAACCTAGCGTTAAAGCAAGATGACGTTTATGTGCTAACAATATAAAGCAAGACCTTTAAAAAGTGCCAAAAATAAAAGCAAAAATTGTCAGTAATTGAATAAATCAAGAAATCAAAATATCAGCAAGTTGGAAAAATCAAGACAAAAGTTTTGATTTTTCATTTGAGTTCCGTGCGAGGAGTTGTGGAAGAAAAACCTTCAAAGTGGATACCCTGGCG